CGTGATGGTTGATATACGTTATCTAAAATTAATCAATTTAAAAATATATATATATTTAATTATAATTATATATAAAGAAAAATTAGAATAAATTTATCATAACCTCAAATAAAATTACACGAATAATACCTTTTAAGCACTGCTGTAATTTACATGCAAACTTTTTACATGGATCATTTGTCGTCATACGAAAAAATTAAATATATTTGTAGATTTACGTTCAATGAAGTAAATCTTATATAATCTAATGTTACAATTAGATCGATCGCACCGCTAACGGGAATAAAAAATATTTTAAAATTAAATTTTTTAATTATAAAATGCGCAAATATAACATTTTTATTGAAAATTTAAATATATATTAATAATAATATATTAAATTTTTACCTTTAATATAATAAGCTAGCAACAAGATATATAAAAATTGCTTGAATAACCTTATTCACATATAACCTTAATTCTTATATAGTGTAACAATATTAGATAGATGGCACTCTAAAACATACTGTGTCATAGCAGACTAAAAATTTTCATACAGGTATATACATATAGTGTCATCAACGAATGTGTTAGGTTAAATTATACAAGCTTTTTGCTAATATTAACAAAAGTATAACAATGTTGGGAAAGATCAAAACAAAACAAGAGAAAGGAGGTAAATAACAAAATATTAACTATTATTTTTTCAATTATGTGTTCATTTTATAACAAACTTTTGGCATTTCTTATAGGTTATGTTTTTATTCAATAATATTGTATATAAATATAAAAGATATATAGATTTATATCATATAAATTTATATAAAAAAAAAATCTTAAGATTTTAATTTCATTATTAAAAATGATGTAATTTTTTGTATTTTATATATATTTTATTACTTTATAAATGAAGTAATTTTGAGTTTAAATTTTTTAATTATTTATTTTCATATTAAGATAAATATATTTTCTAATATTAAATTTTTTTTAGAGATCATTGCATATAGTGAATCTGCTGTTGTAAATAATGCTGCAGTAGTAGAATATTGTAGGATATCAATGGCAGCATTATCAGGTGGCACAGCTGGTTTATTAGGATTAACTGGATTATATGGTTTTGGTTTTTACATTTTTGCTGTATTTGGATTATGGGTAAGAATAATTTTTAAAAATATTATTATTTAATAAAAAAATTGTTATTATTTAATATTATTTAATAAATAAAAAATATTTCTATAGGCAATGTTATTGTTAAAAGCTGGAGGTCAATGGAAAAAATATTTTATAAGTAGACGAAATCTTCTAACTAGTGGATTTTTTGGAGGCCTTTTTGTATCCTTTATAATATAATAAAAAAAGATAATTATTAAATATTATTATAAAATGTAGATATTTTCCTTAACAAATCTTATACTCGTACAATAGACATATGTGCTGTTTTGGACGTATCCTTTCTAAACATTGAATATTATTATTTGAATAAAAAAAAAATTAATTTTATATATTTGTGAAATATTCTGTATCAATGCTACATTTTTCCTTAATTTAATATTAGATTTTTATATGGAATGGTACATGTATACTGATTAAAAGAATATTTAGATTTAAGGGTTTATATTTTTTAACTAAATATATCGTTAACTAATTAAATATATCACAAACAATTGCCAGTTACTGGTTAGAGTAATAATATTGTTGATAAAGCACTATGTGATTTATTGTATATGTATGTACATAGAACATTTTCAAAAATACATTTATTTCATCTGTTCCATTTGTTTCTCATTGTTCATTATTGTATTATTCCTAGAATATAAGTATATAATAATTGTAAATGTAATTAATTTATATTTATTTCTTTGTTTTTATAATATATATATATAATAAGTAACATGGTATATAAACAATGTAAACATAAAAAACAAATCGTAGGATGAATTGTCTGATATGATAACACTTTACTTACTGAACACAGTTTTTTTTTTAAATATTCGAAGCATCATTAGAATAAAATGCTTTATTTTATTATTAAAATCAATAAACGATAACACATATATAATCTCAAAATGATAAGTTAAAATTCAGACATAAATTTTATGTTTAATTTTCTGTACAATATAATTTTCAATTAATTTTTAATCAATTCTTAAATTTGCAGCATCCGATTCACAATGATATTGCTTTGTACTTAACATGCTCGCGTTTTTGATATTTTGTATATCGCTATATTATATTTGTTTTATATTTTTATAACAATATTTGTTTTATATTTTTAAAAAATTCATGATTTATTAGAGTTATTTATTTAATTTTTATTATAATCAAAATTTCAAAATTTTGACAGTGAAAAGATAAAATTTTATTTCTGTCAATCCTAATGGATGCCGATGTGTTAAGTTAATTTGAACATATGAGTGAGCATAATTTTTTTCATTTTATGTTACCGTTCAAGAAATTAAAGAAAGCACACGAAATAAAGTCAATACTCTTGCAAATTAAATCTTTGTTTCGGAACTTTCTTCCGGAGCAAGTGTAGTATCATCTTGCTGACAGCTCTCCAAAATATTTTGAAGCGGTGTCCCCATTTCAAGACCCTCTAATTTCTTTTCTTGATCCATTTTATCCAATTCAGCTTTGCTCAAATGATAAACTATTCCAGCCCCGTATCCATCGCCCAAAACATTGATCGAGGTTCTAATTCGATCCCTTCGAACAAAAATTTCAAAAAAATTTATATTATTCCATCTTGCGTCGCATTATTTTTTTTTAAATAACAAACTTACAACATCCAGTCAACTGCAAACAATAGAGAAATATCGTTCGTTGGTAAACCCAAAGCTGTAAGCACTATTAACATCGTAATCAAAGCCGCGCTGGGAATACTTGCTGCACCTATACTTGCCAAGGTAGCTGTGAAACTACGTAGATGAAGGTGATCCATAAATAAATAATAGTCGCATACTTCTATGGTATCGATCATACAAACCTGACCGTTATAACTTCACCTAATCCTAACGAAATTCCATTCATTTGTGCGATAAAAATCGCGGCAACCGCTTCGTAAAGAGCCGTTCCATCCATATTTACCGTAGCTCCAACTGCTACTACGAATCGTGTTACACGTGAATCGATTTTATTATTTTCTTCGAGGCATCGAAAAGTTATAGGTAAAGTTGCGGCACTAATGACATTAAAAAAGAAAAAAAAATATTACGTAATTGTAATACGAGTAATAAAAGTACTTAAAAAAAGAAAAGAAAAGAAAAGAAAATATCAATATTACCTTGATGCTGTTCCTAACGCTGTCATCCAAGCTTGCATCATACCTCTGAAAAATGCGGCAGGATTCTGTCGAGTTAAAAACCAAAATATCATTGGCAGAGTGATTAATGCGTGAAACAATAAGCCCAATATGACTGTCACCATGTATAAGCCTAACATCTGAGCAGTTGCCGTCAAATTGTTAATCGACATTATTTTACCAGCTATCAGACACATAATTCCGAACGGAGAGTACCTACACAACAGAGAGATTAAAATTTGAAAACGAGTATTAACAAGCACTATATTAAATTATCAAATTATCTTGACAATACCGCTCACCACATGATAATAATACCGACAAGTTTCATGATTATTTCGTTCAAAACCATGAAGAAGTCGACGATTAATTTCCCTTGAGCGCCAAATTGTCCAGCAACAAGTCCAAACGTGATGCAAAACACTATCATGCCCATCACATTCATTCCATCCTTGTACACTAACGTTGCCTCTTGTATTTGAGTAATTTCACTTGTAGTTCCTATAGCAACTTCCTTCGTCACGTAAGTAGTTTGCGCCTGCTGGAAGCACGCCTGCACCAAATTTTCCGGCACCATGTTTCTAGAAATGGTATTTGCCGATAATACACAACGCGATTTCTCATATATTTCACGTACCTAATTATATCGAGGATAGCGTCTAACGTAGAAATTTTTGTAAAGTCCGCCTTGTGCGCGGTTATAACAGATTTAATTCTAGGATCACCGGGGTGGATTATTAATACCATTACGATACCAACTATAGCCGCGAGAATGGTCGTTACGGTGTAATATAGCAATGCTCTGTATCCCATTCTTCCTGAACCCTTAGGGTCCAATTGTGCCATTCCTAAAAAAGAAAAAAAAAAAGAAAGAAGAGAGAACTTAGAGACCAACTGTGTATGATTCCAATGTATGTTCCAGAATATTGCATAATTACCGGAGATAAGCGACGAGACAATGAGTGGTAGTATGAACATCTTTAAAAGTCGCATAAGAAGTTCTCCGGGGAAACTGATAAGAGTAATGGATTGTGGTGTGGGATTGGCTAATCGACCGAGAAATCCAAGAATAAGACCGACCAAGACTGCAGCGATCGTAAAGACCAAAAGCATGTTCTCCCTGAACCAATCCACCACCTATGTTCACATTCAAACACGAGATATGAATGAGATACAACGTAAAAACTGTCGAAAGAAGAAATACATTGATACGACTAACTCGTTGCAATCTGTCGAGCGGGGTGATCGTCTTGTGGCAAATTTTTTCTTCCTCCACAGTGGTTATCTTTTCGATCTCATCGGAAGTTGACCTAGAAATTGATCTAGGTTAAAAATCAATTCGCAAAAAAATATGATGAAAATTCACAAATCTTACGTTTGGGCCTCTTTGACTTCGGAAGTGCCTCTGAGGACCGCGACGGCCCCAGATATACGTTGCCCGAGAGACATCGTGGTCGATTCGATGATTACTTTAAGATCTTCTAAACAGTCTTCCTCCTTCCTTTCCGAGGAAGATCACGGAGAATTCGTACCCGTTCATACCGCGGCTTTCACCGCTGCAGCATATTTATTTTGAAAACGAACCTCTTCACTCTTATATAAATTCCCTTTAACCAAAACCAAAAAAAAAAAAAAAAAAAAAATAAAAAAAAATTTTTCGATTTCAAAGGACCCGTGTTGTACGTAAAAGGAAAACAAATTTTTTTTTTTTTTGTTTTGGGTAAAGGGAATTTTTAAAAAAGTGGAGGGGTTTTTTTTTAAAAAAAAACCCCTCCACTTTTTTAAAAATTCCCTTTTACCAAAAAAAAAAAAAAAGAACTTCGTATTCCTCTTACGTACAACACAGGATCATTGTAATCGTAAAATTGTTTATCATTGTTTATTGTCGATGAAAAATAAAAAGCGAATATCAATGAAGAGGAATGAACACCGCGGTAAAATGGAGATGTCACACCTGAATCTTTTGATAGCTGTTGTACACGTTCAGGATCACAGCACCAATACGAGGGAATCGTATATAACAAGCTCAATGGTATCCGTAACCGTGGATCTTGGCAGGTCTTTTACGCGCAATGGACTGCCGAGAGACTACCGTATGATTGAATACCCGGGACTTGGCTAGGTATCGCGTCGTTACAATTTGCCATCACGTAGATAATATGCCCCATACAGGAAGCTGATTAGAGCTCGTGAGGGGTCAGAGGGTGAAGATCGTAAGAGTAAAGGGAGACAAATGGCAGAGTAAGAGAGATGGCCGGCTACAGGAAGAGGGCACTCATCACAACGGGTCGCACGGCACTGAATAAGCAGAAGGGAGACAAATATGTACCACGCGCGTATGTTTCGCAGAAATAGACCCGTCTCTATTGGATCTACGGCATCGACTAAATTGCTCTAAATGGAGAACTTGAACGATTCATCCCTTGACGTGCAACCCCCTGCGAAGTAATTAAAATCTGTTATAATGTTACGTCTTATTAAATGTTTTGTTATTTGATAATTATACGAATAATTATACGTGATATTTTTTTTTTTTTAATAGAGATAAGATGCCTTTGAAAATGATTCCGAAAAAAGTCGTTAAAGAAACGTCTTCTTACAATTAGAAGATTATTCCGAGTACGATTATTCCGAGTAAAGTACATTTGAAAGAAAATTGTAATCGCGAGCGTAAATGAGATGTGCCACGTGCACTTGCCAGTTGGAATAATAATTAATTTTATCGAATTAAAGGCATCGTAATTTACATTGTAATCATAGACTGAAGATTAAATCACGATTACATTTACAGAAATGAACGGCCCATATGTTTAAAATTATTTTAACAAGAAATTTGAAATTCTGTCGGCTTGACGAATTCGCGATTGACACAAAATACAGCGTTATATTGGGATTCTATTTATAAGTGGACCGTATATTTCATGTTACATCCGTATTGAAATATGGTACGAAATTCGAAATTAATTAAAATCTGATGTACTTTCCTATGATCACTAACATGGGAAATGCAGATCGGAATTGGAACGTTTATGATGGATTATTTTGAAAGCACATAGGATATGGACCAATTTGTAGGGCCCCTTTGTATATCCGTTGGGAGGTAACCCAATTTCTCCAATAATGATGGCTATGAGTGACTATATATGCAAACTAATATTGAGTTCACGATGGATCGTACAGATATACAATACGTAAGTCATTTGTCACGTCAAGAAAATATTTAAAATTATATGATTTTTATGTGATAACAGGATAAAAGGAGAACAATAAAAATATGTTTAGGAATAAACTTTATTATTGAGAATAAAATTACGAATAATCGATAAATATGGAAAATTTCAAGATCAGTTATACTTTTTATTCAAAATTTATGTTCTATTCGTAATTGAATAAATTATATATATATATATATATATTAATTTGAAACATATTGCTACAATTCCATACATATGTAAAATGCATTTAGAAATAGAAATGATTTGCGAAAATTGAGAGATGTAATATGATCTGTTGCAATAGATAACATCGATATCCATTTTAACAGACATATTTTCAAGATGGGGTGGGAGAATACAGTCTTTAAATTAAGAATTGACTTGCAGACTGAATTATTTCGATTCTTCTTCGAGTCCAAGAAGTTTCATTTATCTCTCTCAAGTTTTTTCTTTTTTATCGCGACAGTATTTGATTCGTAGTGAAAATATGTTTAATAAAATTATAACGAAAATATTCGTATCATTGATGGTGTTTAACGTAATTTACGCCTATCAAAGAAATCCATGGTGGAACATCGAAAATTCACAAAGACAAGGGTGAGATTTGCATATAATTATACATATTTTTAAATGTTATTTGAATCTTAGAATAATTTTTAAGAATCTTCAATCTTTATAAAAAATTTCATAATTTCATATTTTTTTGTTGTAGACCCAATATATGTGCCGTAGAAGTGAATGACGATATAAATTATGCTTATTATACTGAGAATAAACAATGGTATCCTCGAAAAATTTGTGGAAAACCTACGTAAGCGTAATATTATGTTACTTACAATATAGCTTTTATTCAAATACTGAACTTTTGTTTATATTATAGGTTTATAAAATATGAATGTTGTACAGGATATTATAAAGTTGCTGGCCATCCTGGATGCACAGGAGGTAATGGATTCAATTTTATTAGGTTCTTATATTTATTCTTAAATAATTATGATATAATAATGTTTTTATGGTTCTTTTCAGTCAAACCGCTGATAAATCTTATAGAAACTACGCGTCGAGTGGGTTCAATGAAATTCGCAAAATTGATTGAAAGTTCAAACTTTGCAAAAGAATTAATAAGTGGTCCACCCTTAACATTATTCGTTCCATCCGATGAAGCTCTTGAAGTATATATATTATATTATATAACTAATAATTTTAATTTTTACATTTTTGCTTAATTTTTAGCATTATTTAAACGTAAAAGGTATACATCAAGAATCGTTACACGATGGCAATAGATATATAAATTTGATCGCAAATCATATAATAGATAGACGTGTATTGTCAAATCAATGGCAAGCAAATCTTTTAATTCCATCACGATTACGAGGGAATGTTTTGAGAATTAATAAATTTCCCAGTGGAGTAAGTAATATGGATTGCGAACAATTAATTACTAATTGGATATGATAAATCGTTCAACAAGTATTTCTGTTTACGTAGATGGAAACGGTAAATTGTCATCGAATTATTCGCAAAGATCAAATTGCCAGTAATGGAGTCGTACATGTAATCGATGGTGTATTGGATCTTGCTTTGTCTGAAAATTCAGACATCATTGAACTTGTTTCGAGAGACGGTAGATTTGAAATATTTATGAAAGCGTTAGAAAGCACAGATTTAGGGAAAAGGATTCGATACAGCAATATACCATGTACTATTTTTGCACCTACTGATGAAGCTTTCCATCACATTCCAAGGAAACAATTGACCGATATATTAGAAAATCCGATCGCATTAAATGGTACGTAATATATTTATTATGTATTTTCTATGACCTAATTTTGTAAAAACTATTATTTTATATAGCATTAATTGCCCAACATATTGTAACACACCCTGTGTGCATGCCAAACATAATTTCGGAATATCACGCAAGCACGATGGAAAAACAGGAATTAAAATTAAATTGTGGCCCACATGGACCTATTGTAAATAACGCAAACATAAAAAATGAAATGTACCATGGAAAAAATGGATTACTATACGTTCTTGATCGCGTATTACTCCCAGATCGAGGTAATAAATAAATAATTTCCATTTTAATCATTTTTAAGAATGTTTTAAGAATTTTATATTATAATTCATATGTATTTTAGTTAAAACAATTTTGGATGTGCTTAAGGAAGAAAGATTACTAACATTTTTAGAAATAATTAGAACAGCTGAATTAGAAGAAAATTTAAGACATTTGAAACATTTCACAATATTTGCACCTTCTGAAACAGCAATGCATTGTACGTATTCGAATTTTATTATTAAATATTATTAAAAATAAATTTAATACATAAAATTATATAAAATTTTTTATAGCCCTATCTAATCAAAAACTTATAGAATTGCAAAGAAATCAAAAAAGTGCTCGAAATTTTGTTCTTAATCATATAGTTACGGGAATATACTTCACTGATGAAATTAGTAGCAATCAAGTAAGTTGTGTTATATTTATTAGGCATTAATATATTTTTGTTATAACATATTTAATTTTCAAGAACTATAATTTATATTTAGATTGTTAGAACACTTGAAATGGGAGTTCCATTACGCTTTCAAGTTTATCGTTATAATTTTGGAATAGAAAATGCATTAATTATAAAAGCTAATCGAGAATGTAATAATGGTGTTCTACATGTTATCAGTCACATTCTACATCCTGCAGAAGAATCTTTAGATTATATTTTAAAAAAAGAAGGCAATTTCAGGTGAAAATTCGTTTTTAAAAGAAAAAGAATTTGAAAAATAAGAGAAATATGAATAAATAACTGTTACAGTATTTGGTTAGATGCAATGGAAAGAATCAAAAGTGTTCAACCACAAATATATGATCAATTCAAACGAGCAAATTCTACATGCACATATTTTGTTCCTTCGGATGAAGCATTCAAACAACTCGGGAGTGTTAAACTTCAAAAATTATTAGATGACAGAAATTATTTAACAAAAGTAATATAATTTTTATAGATAAATTAACTAAAAATAATTTCTTCATTTACTTTTAGACACTACAAAATCATATTGTGGATAATATGTTACTTGCTGAAAGTTTTATGCCAGACTTACAGTATACTGTAAGAACTAAAGGAAATCCGATAAATATTATAAGAAAAAATAACAAAATTTTGGTAAATAATTTTTTCATAATTTAATGAAAATAAAATATCATATTATAATTTTGATTATTAGTTTAAAAAATATAATTTTTTAGGTAAATGATGCTACTCTTGTAAAAAGTGATATTTTAAACAAAGCTGGAATTGCACATGAAATAAATTCTGTATTACTACCGGATCAATGTTCACATGGTTATAAAAGAACATATGATGGAATTGTAAAAAAAATGTGTCTTTAAAACAAGTAACTAGACATATTTTGCATTATTTATTTATAATAATATATATATATATGAAAAATGAAAAATGAAAAAAATAATAAACCATATGTACATTTATGTATGTTATATAATAAATATAAATATAAATTATATATCTAATATTATATAAATATTATATAAATATAATTATATAAATATAAATATTTCTAATATTAATAGTAATATAGGTGTAT